AAGAGCAACACCATATAAAACATATACCACATATATAGAGACACATAAACAGAGATTGGCCTTTATTTCTTCATTTTCATATACAACATAAGCCGTAGCTTTCCCAATACAAGGCTGCTTTTGATGATGTTCCAGCCATTTCTCCATTTTCATGTCCATGCCCAACAAAATCTCCAACCAACTAAGAATCACCAAGAACTTCCCTCCAAATTAAAGGTAAATTCCATTTGTATACATTCATTCATTTGTTTTATACACTCGTTTCACTCCAAGAGCTTGTTGGTCTACTCGAAGATCCATCAACTCTCCTGTTTCATTTCTTTTTATCGCATCAATATCTCGATCCATTACAATCTTCCGAACTTTCTCTTCAAAATTTATAGCATCAACCCATGCAAAATTTCTTCGTTACTAGCAATAGATGACGTAGCTACCTAAATCTCTACGTGCTCTAAATCTTGAGAACCTTTATTTGTATGTCTGTCTATGTTAACATGAAATTTCCTTTAAGCTTCGCAAGCTACGTTCCAAAATTCCTCTTCATCCCGACTAAATAATATTTTTTTGACATGGAATTATATAATCAATAAGCTTTACAATTCTCACTCTAACCCGCTATAATACGACAAACCCTTAAGCAAAACTATCATTCAACAAGAGTTAAAAGAAGTAAACTTGGTCATGTAAATTTACAACTTTAATTTAATCATGCAACAATTTTGAATACATATGGATATGTTTATTTTAAATATAATATGAACTTCTTAAGTAACATAAATATATATGTTTTTTAGTATATCAAACATTTATTCAGCTCCTATAGAGAGCCAGCTCTTGTTCATTCACTTGCATATTTGGTGGGATGAGAGTAATTGGCTTCATCTCTTCCATGATGATCATCTCGATCCGTGCTGAGCTGAGATGCGACATATCGATCCATGGCTTGCCAATCCATCAGCTTATTATCTACACCATGAAAGAATGTTTGAGACGAGGAGGGGGCGTTTGATCGAGGATCGTAGCTGCACGACGACATGTCGGAGTTAAGCTCAAGGTGTCGAGGGAGCTGAGGGAAAGCATCGTCGAACACGGCGAAGTGAAGATGATCAATCTCATGCTTGCAAGGGTGAGAGATTTGGTTTGGAGAATCAATTTGTGGCATGAAGGAGATTTGATCATCTTGCCAATAAGGTGATTCATAATCGCCCATCTTTTGGGCTGTCGTCATTTTCTTCTTGAAAACCTTACACACCACCCATCCTTCTTCCTGGTACAAATGATTGATCATAACAATCTACAATTCAAAAAATGAAAATAATTGTAATTCAATTGTAAACTTGCCTGAGGAGCACCATTTTCGCTCGTCTCGAGTCTGTACTCATGCATGATCCAATCAGACTTTTGTCCGTTCGGAGCTCGACCTCGATAGAACACTAGGGTTTTTCTCATTCCAATTAAACCATGCCCGTACCTCGAGTAAATAGCCTTGTCCCTTCCCGTTGCCTTCCAAAACCCTTCTTTTGTAGCTCGATTAGTTCGAGTGCTCGTTGGATACTTCTTATCTTTATGGCTGAAAAAGTACCAATCCTCTTGATCTTGACCTCCCATTCTACACAAATCTATGTACAAATACACATCATTAAAAAGGGTTTTCTTCAAAACATTAGAATCAAAATTGTGTACTCTCTTTTCATTACCTTGAAGATCCCATGGCTCAATTTTGTAGAGATCAACATCTTTGATCACATCAACATCAATCCTTTTTGAACCAACTTTTTTCCTCAAATAATAATCTATGAGTTCTTCATCTGTTGGATGAAATCTAAACCCGGGAGGAACATGTAAAATTGTATTCATTTCTCGATCTACCTGCACAAATGTTTTCTCATTCTCTCGTTACTCAAACCCTAATTTTATTCGTTTATCTATATTGAATCAATTCGAACTTCGATATACAAAAAAAAAAATTCAATATATTCTTTCGAAATAGTTTAACATAATCTTTCTAATGGGTTAGTTATGAACAAGCACGAAAATACACAAACCCTAACTTAAAAAGTATGTCTTCAAAACAACAATCCAAGAATTCTCATCAACAAAAGGTATAGTTTTATACAAATTTACATAATGATTAGTGAATTGTAAACAAAAAGAAGCACAAAATGATTATCATTAACAAAACCCTAATCTTTAGCTTAGCTCAAAAGTCTCATACCATTAATTATCATCAAGCTAAAACATTCATATCCAAGCTTCAAACTAAAAATCATGTGGAATGTCATCAAAATTCAAGCTTAGTACCTGTTTGGATCCGCCCTTCGAAACCCGAAACTTCTTTTCTCCAAATCTTCTACTACAACACGCCTCTTCGTCTCTTCGTCTCACTGAACCAAACAAATAATACACGAATGGAGAAAATTAGAGATCAGATCGTCTCTTCGTCTCTCCTTCTTGTTGTCTTGATCCTAGAGAGAGAGAGAGCAAAAAGGGAAAGAAAAAAAAATCTTTGCGCCAAAGGAAAGGTGGCGAAGAAATGTATTTAGAGAGAGAAACATGGCCACCAGCAACTGATGGAGACCAGAGAAAATAATAAAAAAAAAAAGAGGAATTGTTTGCTTTTTTGATGTTCGAGAGAGAGGTGTTGCATTTGATAGGATGATAGGATGATGGATGGTTGGGATTAAAAGCTGGGTGCTCAAGAACTGTTAATCAAGTACTATACAACTTATATTATTTTTTACTTTACATATGAATATGATAGCACATTATCATTATGATATATACCAAATTGCATCCACAATAATTGCTAACCGCAGGTGCACAATATCAAAGTTTAATGAACTGATAACAGATTGCATCTCCCTATTATCAGGAATTTGTCCAACTAAGAACTGGAAAAGGGAAATTAAATTAATTGTAACTCACTTAAGCATCATAGTTTTGATTATTCCTTTTTAATTAACACAATTATTATGAAAATAAGATGATGTTGTAATATGTAAGTTTGACCGGTACCAATTCTCCCACTTTTACTTTTTAATTCTATATTGAAGAATTTTATTTTCTTACATTTGCTCTAATAGCCCAACTCTACTGCTAGTTGAGGAGATCGAAGGAGGTGGATTGTGAATTCTCACATCGATTGGGGAGGAGAACGAAACACCCATCATAAAGGTGTGGAAACGTCTCTCTATTAGACGCGTTTTAAAAACCTTGAGCGGAAGTCCGAAAGGGAAAACCCAAAGAGGAAAAATATCTGCTAGCGGTTGGCTTGGGCCGTTACCCTTGTTGAGGCACAAATGGGGGCTTGACCATGATTGCACCACTTGCCTGCACGTGAGCTCTTCGCCCTTCGTTTGGCTGTTTTTCACTTTGGTTTCAGTATTAAACGTATTACAACTTGAATTAGGTTCAACTAGAGAAATTTTCAAGACTTTGGAGCACCTAGCAAGTTGAAAACGAGCACGGGGAGGCATGCAAGACCATATACATAGTCATTCAAATTTTCCTTGAACAGTACTTTTAGGGATCGTTAGAATGTGCTACCATGCGAGCATAACCTTCTATAGGTGATTAGATTATGCATAATTAGGTCAAAAGATGAGAGTTTAGTTAAATATGTTATGTATGTTGTAGCGAATGACTAAAATGCTCGTAGTATGAGATTTATAAAATGCATGTTGTATGAGATATTTTTGTTGTTCTAGATTCTCTCTTCAGATATTGTGATTTGTGCTCCACGTGGATGTTACTTCCCTGTTGAGCTTGCATGTATATTATGTGAATGAGTTCTTTAGTTTAAGTGATTAGTTGTAATATATCCCTATTTGAGCACGTATGATTGTACTAAGTTACAAATAAGAACCGTCTGACCGAAGTAAAAATAAAAAATAAAATAAATAGTACATCTATCACCCTAGGATCGTGAGGCATAAATGGTCAAGACCCTCGTGCTCCCAAGTAGTGTCCAAACCAAGTGGTAGGTATTAAGGAATACATACCATTGAGCTTGACCCATATCGGTCAAATAGAATAGAATAATGAAGCTACTTAATGAGTTACTATCGTGTGTAGAAATGGTTCAAGGGTTGAGGCTACGACTCCATAAGCTATCCTAAGAAGCTATCCTAAGAGGGGACCAAGGAATACATGAGTAGTTTAGCTCATGATGAATGTCATTAGCGTGTGTGTGGAAATGGCTACAAACCTTCTGAACAGGATTACCTTATTGTAAATTCATCTGAGATAGACGAGGGACCACACAGATAAACTTAGGACCACACAGATAAACTTAGTAGTTGGCTAGCACATGGAGTCATTCTCCCAAGTTTAGTGTGACCTTATAGTCTTGTAGTAAGGGTTGCCAACTTGTCTTACACAAATGTATCCTATGAGATATGATGTGGTAGTGCCTCAATCCAGGATACTAGTCATTCAATGCTATGTCAATGCAAGCTGACTAAGCCTAAAGAACAATAAAGATAGTTCACCCGAGAGATAAGCTACGCCATCCAATATATCCGTGGCGCTAGAAAAGAGTGAACAACCTCCAAAACCAGAGTGAATTTGTGACAAGTAAGAGAATCACTCAAAACTTCGAAGACTTCCCAAAAGTTCATATAGTTGTAGGCCTAGGCTCGAACTTTTTAGAGCCGAGAGAAAAGCTCATGGTAACTTATTAAGTTAAGGATGCAATGAAAGTCTACAAGTAGATTGTTGTATTTTCTTACCGTCATCAAATTCTATTTTTCTTTTTCAAGTGACCGTTTACTGCAGGTGGGGCACGGTCGGGAGTGGGCAATCATAGAGGGGGTCGCCTCAGAGTGTTAGTCGTTTGTGCATTTTGAGGTTAATTGTTTAAATTTTTATGGGGTTCCCTGGTTCCCGTTTTGTTAAGATAAGATGATAGTAATTTGAGGTGTAAATGTTATGGGTTATTTGGTTGTGTAGTGTACAATATTTGTGGGTAATTGAAGAGACTTGGGGAAGAAGGTAAAGCCACGTAAACAACTGGAAATTATATCTTGTTTCCTAATAAATCCACACACCCACCCAAATTGCTTTCATCATCAAACCTAAATTTTAAGAATGCACAAATTTGGCTAAAAGCAACCCCCAACTGTCTTGTTGTCTTTGGGTTATTTCTGTTGCCAAAATCAGTTTTTTTTTCTGCTTTTTTTCTCAGTGTGAACCAGAAGTAATCACAACACTCTCAGATGCCAATCCTATTTCTCGACCGATCTCATTTGCTGCCGAGCTTGGCGGTTACAATTGGCAAAACTTTTTACAAGACGACCACATTTCAAGAGGTCGTTAGGATATTCTTTGTAGCATTGAAAGCAAGCTTCGCTTTCAGCCAAGCACGGCATAGGGTTCTGGTAAGGGAGCTTGAACTCCTTCTCATGGAGTTCTTTAGCCCTTTGAGTGACTTCCTGCCGCAAGTTATCCTCCTGCTTCTGCAACTTCTCCACTACCTTTTCACTCTCTTGCAGCACGGATTGGATTGCGTCTATCTCTGCGTTTGCAGGATGCGGCGGAGGAGATCGGTGTGGCCATCCATCACTTCTGCTTCCTCTTTTCAGCATTCCAGAATCATCAGATGTATGTTTCTGATCAACCTTTATTTGGGGTTTTTTACTCTCTTGTCGTGCCTTGGTTCTATTCCTTCTTGGTGTTCGTTTTGGTTTTTCAGTATCAACAATTAGCATATCAACAAGGTTTGAACTAATCTGAATGGAAAAGTCACCCATTATGCTCCCTAAGCACACTACCTGAAAATCATGATAGAAATTATGTTTTAATCAAGTTACAAACATGTAGAAAGCAAAAGAAGTTGCATAACAACACACTAAGGATATCCAATTATCCATCATGCATTGCATTATGTCGTAACAGATAAGGGATATAACAATTCAGCTGATTGTCTCTGCAGTGACATAATAATCTCAAAATCAAATAGAAGTACATATGTGAGATCCCACATCGGTTGGAGAGGAGAACGAAACATTCTTTATAAAAGTGTGGAAACGTCTCCCTAGTAGATGTGTTTAAAAAACCTTGGGGGAAGTCTGAAAGGGAAAGCCTTGGACAATATCTAAAAACGGTGGGCTTAGGTCATTACAAATGGTATCAGAGCTAGACATCGGGCAATGTGCCAACGAGAAGGTTGAGCCCCAAAGGGAGTGTGCCAGTAGACACCATGCGATATGCCAGCGAGGAGGTTGAGCCCCAAAGGGAGTGGACACAAGGCAGTGTGCCAGCAAAGACACTGGGCCCGAAGGAAGGTAAATTGTGCATCTCATATCGATTGGAGAAGGGAATGAGGGTAGATTGTGAGATTCCACATCGGCTGGGGAGGAGGACGAAACATCTTTTATAAGAGTGTGGAAACCTCCCCTTAGCTTTTAAAAACCTTGAGGGGAAGCCCGAAAGAGAAACTCCAAAGAGGACAATATCGGCTAATAATAGGCTTAGTGTAACATAAATGATTTCTCTCTAAAGAACCCAGCGATTTGCTATAAGTTCTACAGTTCCATCCCATTTTCAAGGGAGAAAAAGGTTGACACACCTGCTAATAGAGCCTGACTAACACAATTTCTGCAAGAGTCCAATTCAGCAAGATATCCATATACATTACAAGAACATATGCAAATACAGAACCATGGCGTTCCTTCAAACCCAAGTGTATAATGTACCCATGTTCAACATCCATCAAACACTCTGACATTTGAAATATTAGTAAAAAACAATACATGCCAAATGCTTTTTTTTCTTTATGTTTATTTGATATCCGTGAGTGTCTGGGACAACTTGCGTGTACTTCAACTAATTTCACAGGACACTAACCTAATTCTACTATTGTCAAGGAAACTTATAGGCGTGTCAAATGCTTATTAAGCATTTAGGTGTGTTGTGGACACTTATTGAACATATTGAAGATACGTTCAGTATTTGCAAATGTATTAGACACCAAACACAGGGAAACATTCGCCAAACAAATTTCTGTTCTAATTTCTTAGAAAATAATGTGTCATTGAGCCCATGATGCAGCCTGATCATGTCCCATGTAAAGAAATGGTAGACATTTTAGAGGCTCTAACTGGACTGGACATAAACATCTTCTGGTATTCACTCTCAAATCTACTAGAAAAATGAAAAGTCCCGTTGTTTCTCATTTTGAATCACAAGGATCCAACATAATCAACAGTACGGTGATTAAGCAATAGAGTGAAAACAATTCATCGCTGACAGAGACGGAAAACAAAAGCAGAGAGTTTCATCGACACATTCTTCAAACCCACTACAGAAAATTCAGATTCGCCTAATAAATATATATATAGCACTGCCAAACGCACAAAACAAAACCCTCCGCCAATCGGGAAAAAGGCAGTCTTAAAATGCAATGGAGAAAGCACAGATAGATTTGAGCAATACACAAAATCGTCAAAATGTATCCTCCAAGAAAATATGGCATAGACGCTAGGGCAACCAACGGAAGAAGACCTAGAAATTCAATTCTTGAAAATGGGGAAAGAAAGGGCGATCGATTATCAAATTAAAGGAAAAAACGTAAGAAAAATGAATGCATACCGGAGGGAAGCACGGTCCCGTCTGCAGCAAATTGGAGTTTGAATGTGGAAAAGGAAGGCCAATCTTCTTTGGGACTCGGGGATTAGGACCAACACGGAATCGTTTCTAGGACTGCAAGCGAATAAGCAAGCTCCTTTATTTTATTTTGATAATTAATTAATTTTATTTTATATTTATCTTGTTTTTATAAGGCATGTTTTATGTTTTCTATTCAAATATATGAGGATTTTTTTATAAATATTATTAGTAAAATATAACATTTTTTAAAACTATTTATAAAAATATTATAGTTTAAACTACATCAACAAAGCTCACCCAATTCATTTAAGCAAAAATAAATAAATAAATAAATAAATAAAATTTGTATCTCGTATGTTAATATTTACTCCATAAATTTTTTAAAACATATTTATTAAAGGACTACATCGATCCCATTATAAGAATAAGCGTTTTAGTTAGACCAAGTAATAGTGAGTTATATAGAGACACGGGAGTAATCCTGAGTAAATTATTTAATCTCTCTTTATAAATTTATTATTAAGAAAATTAATATTTCATAAGAAAATATTTTAATCTTAAATAAATTATGAATTCAAATTTTCGAGAGATGTCATTTGATATAGGCATGAGTGAGAATGTCATTTTTAAAGAATTTAATAAGCCTATCATTTTGAGGACTTGATCAATCAATCCTAATTTTTGCCCCGTGCTGTTAAAAAAAAAAAGGCCCGAAACTGTAAGAGCACATGAGTTATTTAAGCATATGCGTTCCAGCCTAATATGCAGTCTTTCTTGAGTCCTCAATTGGAGATATCAGACTGCTAACAGGGAAGTAGGAGCTTGGGCAATTTGAAAGGATGGAAACAAGTCAGTTGATGATGAAGGTATTCCAGATATTGGATTGGGGAAGGTGATGGTTTGATAATCATTTTCATGTTATTACATCACTAATATGATTATGAACCATGAACACCTAAAACAAAGAACAAAGAACATTCTGCAGTCATATTATTTCAACAAAAAAAAGTGAAACAGCAGAAGCACTAAAACATCATGTCAATTCTTCGTCATAATGCCATTTGTGAGCGAGTGTAGCATATTATGCTCATGATCGAGCATTACAGTGTCAACTACGTTCTGAAATTTGATTCATGGTTGAAACATGGTATCCAATGTACTGTGCAAGGGGAAGGGCTGCTTCTTCAAGCAGTTGTGCAAAAGGGGAAGGGCTGCTTCTTCAAGCAGTTGTGCAAAAGGGGATCTCAAAACCAATAACCAAAAATTTAGCAAGAAAATTATTTCAACTTAAACACCGGGTATCTATTTGTCAATGATTCATCAAAACGATACACACCCAAACTGCACTTTTAAGATTTTAAGAAATCTTTCTAACCAGAGGTAGTATTTGGATTGCTTTGTTCATCTCATTTGAACGATTCCTGCGCTAATCAGCTTCTGCAACTTGTTCATCACCATTGGATTCTTGGTGTGTTCTTGAGCCGCCTTTGGATTTTCCTGGAAATCAGTCAATACCTAAAAAAAAAAAAAAAAAAAAAAAACAGATACATGAATCAAATTCTTGGTGGCTAATGCGTGCACATTAGTCGTTCATGAATTACGCATATGCTAACTAAGAACCAAACATACCTGTCTCATAACAGGATCGGTGAGTATATTTTGAATTTCTGGGTCCTGCATAGCTTTGGCCTAGAACATGAAGATCTTGTCAGACCAATTCAAGAAAACACTAGGCTAACTAAAAGCTCACTTCAAGCTCTTGGAAAACAAGATATACCTGTCTTTCCTTCAATTCTTCAGGGGTCAAGTCCCCACGGCTTGCCTTGTTAACCTGTTCTACACATCTGCAAATCCAGTTTTCAACTTTCAGTTAAAGAGAATTTTTGTGAGATCCAGAGAACAAAGCACTCTGTGTAAGGGTGTGGAAACCTCTCCCTAGCAGACGCGTTTTAAAAACCTTGAGGGGAAGCCCCAAAGGAAAAGTCCAAAGAGACAATATCGGCGAGCAGTGAGCTTGCTAATACCAATTCAAAATACAACCAAATAGACTATGCATACCTTCTCATACCATCCAGCAATTCTTGGTTTTTAGGATCATGTTTTAATCCCTCCTGGTAGGTTTCCAAAGCCTTTTCATATTCTTTCATGAAAAACTGAACTGCACCTTTCCTTGTATATCCCTTTACAAATGTAGGATCAAGCTCAATGCACTTCTCTGCATCCTTCAAACCCTCAGGCAATGCCCCCAACTTAGTATAGCAAGCAGCACGGTTACTATATGCCTGAAAAGAAATAATACATCAGATTACAACTCGCCTTAAGAACTAACTCAATCTCTTCAAAGACACCACTGATGCTCCGACCTTTGCATCCTTGGGGTTTCTTCTCAAGGATTCTGTGTAATGTTTCACGGCCTCGGGATATTGTTGCTGCTTAAAACACTCATTCCCTACAAAGAAATTATTAAACATAAAAAATCAAATGTGCATAACAGTGGTTGAAATATGAGAAATCAACAACAGAAAAAACTCACAAAATCGAGGGTCAGTTGATTGAAGGAAGTTAAAAAGAAGAACATAACCCAAGATTAAAAATATAGCAGCTTATGGATTAATGAGGTAGATTTTTTTTGTTAAAAAAAAAAGTTTCGGCTACAATTTGCCAATTAGCCAATTGCTTTAATCAAGTAATATCAAATACTCAATATCTTACAGACCCCATCCGTTCATTTATATTTCTTCTAAAAGAACAGAAATAAGGAACAAAAGCTAGGGGAAGGGCGTACCTTTTTCCCGTTCCTCATCAGCTATCTTAGGATCAAAATACTCTTGTTGCTCCAAATCCTTCTTTGCTTTCTCAGCATCATTGAGTTTCTTCAGGGTGTCAGGATTTCTATGCTCAGTAAGAGCCTTCTGGAAAGTTTCAATAGCAATATCATAATCCTTTGAACATTTTGCCAGTTTCACATAAGCTGTTCCTTTCCTGGTCAAAGCCCTTGCAATCATCTTAAAGTCTGACCTGAGTTCCCTACCCCTCTCAACAGCCTTATCACAATCTTTGATACAATCTTCGTACTACAGAGAAAGAACAAGCATATCTTAAGGTTTCACACTTCAAAATGCCTTCAAGGAGTTAATGCGAGGTGGGAAAACCATTTGGCACAGAATAAAAACGTGATAAAAGTTTCTATAAGGCCCTCCTAAATAATTTGCATTCGAAATTTTCATTCGCCTAAAGTTCAAGGCCATCCATCACTCAGTAACAGACAGACAGTGGACAGACACTTCCAAAACTTGCCTCACAACACATTATATAGGAATGGAAATAAATCAAGAAAGCCATCGACAGTAAACAACATGTAAAACCCATCACCTTTCCCATCTCCAAATAGACAGCAGCTCGATTTGTTAAGAAAGAGATGTCCTCATCGTTCAACTCAAATGCCTTGGTGTAATGATTAATTGCCTTTTCGAAATCCTTCTTCTTGTACGCCGCATTGCCCGCCTCCTTCTCCTTCTGTGCCTGCAGCTTCTTCTCCTTGGCCTCCTTCTCCTCCTCCACAGCTTCCATAGGCTCTGGCTCTGGCTCTGGCTCCTTCACCGGCTCGGCCTCAGCAGATCTTTTCCGTTCCGCCGGCGAAGAGGACGCCTCAGGAACATCAGCCTTCTCCTCCCCCGGATTATGCAACTTCAAGTTCAGCAAAACCCCTAACGCAGCCATCACTCTCTGATCCTTCAAATGCATATTGATGCTATTAGGGTTTCTCTGAATATCCTGCATTATATTCAAAAAATCCGGCTGCTGCAGAAAAGCCCTAGTAGTCGGATCAGCGGTCAGTTTAGCCCACATCTCAGGTCCAGAGAAAACATTTCCGAATGGATTCGGTGGAGGCACCGGCCGCGACCTGGAAGCCGCAGACTGAGCATCAGCCAGTCCAGATTTCAAAGCTTCATTGCTAGGATCAATCTCCAACCCCTTCTTATAAGCCGTTACAGCCGCTTCATGTTCTCCGAGACCGAGATGAGCAGCGCCGAGACGGCCGTAACCCTTAGGCCAGTCCGGCTTCAACTCTACGGTCTTCTCAGCGTCAACCAAGGCCTCGGAATATTGATGGAGAGAAGCATAGGACGCAGATCGATTGGAATAGAGAACATGATTGGTAGGAGCAAGTTGTATGGCATCGGAAAAATGGCGGACGGCGGCGGAGAAGTCGCCGGCTGAAAACGCCGCATTGCCCTTGGCTTTGGCTTCGTCGGCCATAGAAAATTGTTCCGTCGGACGACAGAAATTGTGAGAAATCGGACAGAATCCGGCGGAGAAGTTGCAGAGATTAAGGAAGAGGAAAGAAATTTCTATCGGAAAAGAATTTGAGAGAGAGAAGATGGACGAAGAGAACAGAGTGTTCTCGTAGGTTTCTTTTTTTTGGATTTTTGAAGGAGTTCTGGAATGTTCGATTGTCCTGTAAAATTTGGCTGTTTGGTAACGCAGCTACCTTATCATCTATTGGAATAATAAATCGTCCGTTTTGTTGTGCTAACAAATTGAGTCAATAATAGTCATTTGTCTTAATCATATATTTACATTATATTTTTTCTATATAAAAAAATAATAATAATAAATAAATAAAAAATACCCATAAACTTTCTTATTTTCGTACCGTTTGAAAGTTAATTCTTATTCTATGGTAAACATTTCAGAGCTTTCTCTTTCGAGCTTCGTTTGATAGGGAGAGGTTTCCACACCCTTATAAAGAAAGTTTCATTCTCTTATCAAACCGATGTGAGATTTCACAGTCCACTCCTTTTTGGGGCCAGTGTCTTCGATGGCACACCGTCCAGTGTCCACCATCTTATCAAACCGATGTGAGATTTCACAGTCCACTCCTTTTTGGGGCCAGTGTCTTCGATGGCACACCGTCCAGTGTCCACCATTTTGGAACTCAGTGATCTCGCTGGTACACCGTCACCATTTCTATTAGATATTGTGCTCTTTGGATTTTTCCTTTCGAGCTTCCTCTCAAAGTTTTTAAAACATTTTTGTTAGAGAGAGGTTTCCACACTTTTATAAACAATGTTTCGTTCTCTTTTCCAATCGATATGGGATCAAACACACATCTAAAA